AAAAAAAGGAAGTAGTCCTCTTTTATTTTTTTTATTTTTTATCTGTTGATTAGGGCCGGGAGGAAAGTATTGTTGGGTTGGTTCCCTACCTGCGTTTTCCCTCCCACCCACCCCTTTGCATGCATTTCCGCGTTGGTACAGTGCCACGTCAGCAGTGCCACGTCAGCAACGATGCCACGTCAGCAACAGTGCCACGTCAGCAGTGCCACGTCAGCAACAGTGCCACGTCAACAGTGCCACAGTGCCACGTCAGCAGTGCCCCGCCACCATGACGGGCTCAGTTCTGGGCATGCCAGGCCAACTGGCAAATGAGTCCATTGCCGAGTACCGACAGCATTTCGAAACTCAGCTCGCACTAATCGCGGCTGAGGAACAACGCCAACTGGCAGCCGAGGCTGTCCGCCTACAGGCTGAAGCGGCGGCAACAGCTGTGAAGCAGCGGCTTCAGGCCGAAGCAGATGCAGATACCCAGGCACGCCGCAAGGAAGCCCAGGCTCTGCTACAGCGGCATGAAGCCACTAGCATCGAAAAGCTCAAGTTTTGGCACTTTGAACCAGCCGAGGAGCACGACGACGCGACATCGGAGGAGCAGCACAAGGAATTCATGGCCAAACTCGTGACCAGGTTGGTTTACACTTGTAACCACCTGCAGTCCGAGCTGGCGAACCTCCAGCAGGACGTACGGAGCCACAAGGCTCAGCACGATGATGCAGCACGGGCACTCGATTCCCGTGTACAGGACTTGGAGCAAACTGCACCAAGACCGGAGGCTGGCGAGTCCAGCAGTGCACCCTCTGCCCGCCAACTGGAGGAACGAGTTGATCACGTAGTCGCAATGCTCGGCGACATCAGTACCTTCGCTGCACCAGCCACCATCAGCAATCAGTTGGACACCTTGAAGACCGAGGTTCAGGAACTGCACCAGCTTCCTAACAAGGATAGCAACGCCGTGCAGCACTACAAGATGCCGACATTCCAAATCGAGAAGTTTTATACGCATCAAGACTCGGTCCTCCGGTGGGAGGGCTTTACAACGCAACTTCGGATTCTGTTCGTCGCCAAGCACGCGTACATCGGCGCGTTGTTCCTCAACTCAAAGGGCAGATGCCAGATCTGGTTGAGCCACCTGGCAACCGTCCACGACGTCGATGTCGCAGATCTGAAAGATAAGATCTCTTGGGAAGAGTTAACACGGCTATGGAAGAAGCGGTTCATCGTGGACGACGCCCCAGCGCTCGCCATCAACCGCCTCTTCGCTATGACGCAAGGCAACACATCGACGCGTGACTGGCTCACGGAATGGTAGAAGATCGCGGCAATGCCCGATCTTGACTTGCCATTGTCGTATCTTCGTTGCGAGTTCTACAACCGGTCATGTGCCGCCTTGAGCCTTGCACTTGGTGATCACGAGCAATACGCGACCTTCGCTGAAATCATCGACAAGGCAAGGGAGATCATCAAGATCAATAGGGCAGTTGCACATGAGAAATCAGCATGGCAGCCAACCTATGTGGAGAAGGTGAAAACTGGTCCGCGGCCGCAGCATGTCGCTCCAGTCCAATCGGACAACATTGTGGAAGACCCGACAGCCACCCAAGCGTCACGTGAGGGAGATCAGGTGGCTGCTGTCCAGCCTCGAAGCAACAACAAGTCCCGAGGAAACGGGAAGGCGAAAACCGCATCGCCGGCCGGAAACGGACATCCAGCACCATGGGTCAAATTTCACTTGACCAAGGCGGAATCCAAGTGGTGAGGCCGCTACGGCTGCTGCTATTGGTGCAACAGCACCAAGCACAAGACCTCCCAATGCCCGAATCAAGGCAAGGAGGATGTTCGGTCTCGTATCAACTCGGGAAACTGAGTTCCGCGGGAAGTGAGGCGACTCCACCTCTCACTCCGCCAGATTCGGCCGCCTTGCTAGCGGCCTCCTACACATCTGGGGAGGCTGCGAATGTCGCAAGTCCTCGGTACACTTACGAGGACTATGCTGTCCACTTGGTCCCACCGTTGGACCAACCGCTCCACGTGCAACAATCTACCGCATGCACGGTTTCATCACCATAGGCAACCGATTCGGCAGCTTCGCCGCAATCTATCGCCGGGGATTCGACATCATGGTCAAGACTTGAAGAGCTCAACCCATTGACATTTGCGGACTTCCAATGGATGCCCCTTCCCCGGTCCGGTCGATTGCCAAAACCGCATTGCAACGTGCTCATGGCACAATTGCGGGATTACTTGCACACTGCAGTACCAACTCCGTTGATGGACGCCGGAGTAGAGGTTGTCGACCTTCACGCCTACATTGCGAAGATCTACCGCGAGTTCAAGACACAACGGTACGACGACATCGATGCACCATTGTTATATGTACGCATTCAGATCGGAGAGGCGACCTACAGTGCTTTGATCGATTGCGGAGCATCTCGCAACTACATGAGCCAGGACTTTATGGTACGCGCCGGCCTTGGCCCACACGTTCGGAGGAAGTCCCAGCCTACGCAAATCAGGTTGGCAGACGGTCACATGCACAAGTCAATAGACCGATGCATAGATGACGTCCCCGTGTACTTTGCCCCGCATGCAAGCGAGGCGGTGTCCTTCGATATCTTGGACACCAAATTCGACATGGTCTTGGGCATGACATGGCTGCGAAGTGAGGACCACCCGGTGAACTTCTACCGCCGCACCGTTCACGTTCATTATCGGAACGGAGTACTAGTCCCATGCACTCTAGCTCCTCCTCACCCTTCGATCAGCTGCCACGTGGTGTCCGCCGCAAGCACGCGAGCTTCCATCATGAGAGACGACATCGAGGAGATGGGGGTGTGTTTTCTCCACGCCCTCCCGCCCCATGACGCTTCATTGACGGACTCATCTTCGGACCGACGCATCATTGAGCTTCTCGACGCCTACGGCGACATGTTCGAAGGCCCGCACGGAGTAGTACCGGATCGGCCCATATGCCACCAGATCATCCTCGAGGACGGGGCTGTACCTCCGCGTGGTTGCATCTACCGAATGAGCGAGGAAGAGTTAAGTGTGCTACGGGCACAACTCGACGACCTTCTGGAGAAAGGTTGGATTCGGCCTAGCTCATCGCCATACGGTGCTCCTGTTCTCTTCGTCCGGAAGAAGAACAAGGATTTGCGGTTGTGCATCGATTAT